TACCAACGAGCCTGGCTCTTTGGTGTTGCTGTCAAAGTTGCATGTTTGGTACCCTGTAGACCTGTGTTCAAATCTGGGTAGGATGACTGCTCTCGCCTTTGACCGCATATGGTGTCAGAAGTGGGATGGCTTGCCGTGAGGTCATCTGAGCCGTGCCCAGAGTCTGAACCGTCTGAGGGACCACCATGGGTAACATTAATGATGGGATGTGTATAGTGTACTTTTCAGTAATACTGATCATATGTCATCATTCAACTGATTTTATTTTTATTTGAAGGTATTTTGGTCAAGATGTGATACATGCTTCTGTACCTTTTAATGTACAGGAAGTTATTATTGTAATGTACACAAAATTAAAGTCTTTTAGTTGTCTGTATGTGTGTGTGTTGTAAAATTGATTTTTATTATTATGCTAAAAGGGCATTTTGCAAGTTATTTTTAAGCCATTAATAATGCATTATTCTCATACTGAATGGTTTCATAAAGCAGCTTCCCAAGATATTAATAGTGGCTCTTGGAGTATACTAGTAATAAATTACTAATGTGCTGAAATGCTAATAAAAATGTTCAGGGAACACATTTATGTGAAGTTTACAATATATTTAAACTGTTCTTCAAGTATAGCACAAAAGGGTATTTTAAGTTAAATTTTAAGAAGTATATATAAATTACAGTAAAGGTACTTAAAATAGGTCCATTTTAACACAACTAAATATATTAAAATATATTGCAGTTATCTTAAAGTTGACATTAATGTTTCTAAAATGACACTTAACATACTTTAATTTGTTCCAAAACACATTTAGTATACACTTAGTATAGTACAATTAAAATATGATAAGTGCATCCAACAAAAGTGCTACTTAAGTATATTTCTTTTTTGCTTGGGGAAACTCTTTAACTTAAATTAAGAGAATTGCTGGTTTGTGTGTGTGACTTGAAAATTACTTCGCAGCAGTTGTGTGTGGCGTCTCTATGACGACCAGCTACACTGAAGGGGTACTATCTCTGGGTAGGCCTACTATCTGCAATGGAAAACAAAGCCAAACAGTCGAGTCGAGGTGAGTTGAGCTGGTACTGGTAATAGAAAAACGGCATGTAACACTTGCTTTTACTTTTACTCATGCCATTTACCATTATCTCCCCGATCGGATTTTCCCTCACTCATGTCATTGCCAATACTTCTTGGGCATTCATCCTTCTGCTGGTGCCTACTCCTTCTATTGTGTTGTCTACAGGTCAAATTTTACCCGTTTTCAAAAAGTTTTGTATGAAAAATATGGTTTTCTTTCATGAAATTACACCAAAATAACATGGATGCTTCCACACTACGCTCTAAACAAACAAACACCCCCCCCCAAACTGGTAATGAGTTGGAATGAAGTTGGCTAAGAAGGTGTAACACAGAATTGGACGATAAGTTAAACTGGATGCTTTAAAAGCAGGCAAGCCAGACCGGGTCAATTTTGAAGTGCATGGTCGACGGAAGAAAACACAAGGGTTAATCAAATACATATTGAGATACACATCTTGTGTATCTTGTCATACAGCTTGCTTACCAACAGACATACTGTATAAACAATCAGCGCAAAGCAACCATTGAGTGGACCCCCAAAAGTTTTCAGTCTGGTGTGGGGGACAGAGAGCAACCCCTTGTCCATGGACAGGGATGGAGAAGGTCCAGTAGGTACACAGGAGCAATGGCATGGTTAAGCAATAGCTAACCACAGGCCGTAGTATACAACAGTTAAGGGGCGTTGTTAGGCCCGACGTGCGCATCAAAGGCTAGAATTATTAGAACTATTTATTTATATCTATTTGCACGTTGCCGGTTGTTGTGCAGCCACTAAAAACTGGTAACTTGAACTTAAATGATAATATGCTTGTGTAGCATGGCTAAATTAGCTATGAATTTTAATAAATTTATGAGAATTAATACCCAGTTATGAATTTTAATATTCAGAAAATATCAAAAATCCATAAAAGCTCTCGTTAAAAGGGCACCACCGGAGTTGTTATAATCCTAGAGTCTCCGGACCTCTAGGTAGCTTTTAATAATTATACAATTATTACTAGTGATCAGTTAGTTAATAATCGCTCAATTATCTTAAATCAATCAGTCAGTCTCATATCTAAAGGGTCACTTCTCTTGGCAGGGACGTGGAAATAGGCAACACACACAGTTCTTGATTACAGTGAATTTATTAACTAACTAATGCGATATAAAAGGGTGGTTAATACAGGGAAAATAAACAATGGCTGAACAATGAGAAATGGAGGTTCGATTGTGGGAAGCATTTGACTCATACGGCAGAGGAGAACTAATGAAAGTAAGCTATGAGTTTAGGAGTAAAAAGATTATTAACATTACTGGACATCCCTGACCACAGAATGTTTGTTAGGTCTTACAGCTTGTCGACGGCCTACTTTGGCCTGTGGCACGGGTCCCACGCTAGCTGCCCGATCCTGCCTTTTGCTAGGGATTCTCCGTGTCTGGCAATTCGGCTGTTTTCAGGTTTCCTTCGTTGCCGTTGGCGAGACCACGTGGCTTGGTCTGACCTCGGTGAAGTTGGCTCGACGAACAAGCTTAAAAGGGAACTTGGTCGTTCCTGAATTAGTCCAGTGTAAACTTAACAGACTGATAATTTTAACAAAACAAAAGAAAGAAAGAAAATAAAACAAACTGAGGGGCAGATCGATGTTGTGGCACTTCGCGTGTGTAGCTTCAAGTGAACAAAGGCCTGTTGCGCTGGTCGAACTTTTAGGGCGTTGCCTGGAGAGGTACGCCGGATGCGTGCCGAAGCGTCCAGAGAGCCGAGTGGGAGACCAGGGCACAAGGAGAGGAGAAGAGCAGAGCAGAGCAAAAGCGAGAACGACGTCGTGTGTCGCTATTTTGTTGCCTGGGGCGTGGTTCCCCCAGGGAGCGTTTCAGGTTTCCTGAGGGACTGCCTTTCTAAGCTTTAATGTCTAAAAGAAAAGAAATCTATTTGCGCGTATTATAATCAAATATATTCCACAATCAAACCTCAATGGTCAAACGGTTGTACTGTTCTAAGTTAAGCATTTGGTAACGGGAAACAATTGTCACATTATTGGTCAGGATAAGTGGGTGACATTTATACATTAACAGCATTTCTGACGATGGTATGTAATACTTATTTCGTCCACTTGGGGGAGCTCAGGTTACATGAGGAAAGCTTAGATTAACCCAAAACAATCTTTCATTAGGAAATTGGGAATTCAGCCTTAAATTCAAGCCGGCAATTAATAGAGTATAGTATGACATTTCTTTATCATCATTTCTAAAGGAATTTTGTGAGAAAGTATTGTGAACAAGCATTGGTTACACATGACGGAGTGTCCTTAATCTTGCTGAAAATAAAAAAACTGCAAAAGTAACTTATTTAGATTCTTTTCAGCCCTAATATCAACAACAGATAGCAACAACATGGTAACATAACTACTCAAATAGAGGCAAACGTAATCAAGTAAATAAAAGATTTAATTAAACTTAATTAAGCAAGGTCAGTTGCCACGGTTACATGTGTGTGGGAGGGGGGGGGGGCAGTTTAGGATTTCCTGCCCCATCCAAGGAGATTCTGATAGGCTGTTCAGGGAAATGCTAATCGCGGGTTAATGTCCCTTTGTCCGCATTATCAGCTTTGTAGATCAAAAAGGTGCCAGTTTTATGATCAGGCTGCTCAGGCATAGCACTTAGAGAAAGCAACTTTCCACCCCCCTTCCGTTGGGGTCTCTTTAGCAGTCTGTTGAAGTTGATCTTTAACCCCCCTGCTCCTCTCTGGGAGAGGAAAAGAGGAATTTGGCGTAGCTCCAAATTTATTTAATATAAAATACACAAATCCACACCGTTGTCCCACTACACTTGCTACTGTGTGCCGGCGGCCAGCAGTAACCTACGTAAAATAATAACACTTTATATTTATTATACCTAACATAAAGGGCGGAATTGCATCTCTCCTTGAGCAATAGTCTTTTGAACAGGCTATTGAAACTTAAACTTTGTTGCAATATCGCAGACATCTGGGGCAAGTAGTGGACTGTTATGTGTGTGTGTGTTTGTGCGTTTTTGTGTGTGTGAAAGAGGGAAATGTTGAATCACGTAATAAGCAATGATTTCTCTCTTTCTCTCTCTCTCATTATTTGTTTATTTATCTATCTCCGCCAGTAAAATCAGATCGCATTTTATTACCAGGTGTAAATGGGGCCACAAAGCTCAGATTATAACTCTAACCTTGTTTGTCACGGAGTGATACGGATCTGTGCAAAGGAATTCAACGTCCTATCCATTGTATACGCTCATTATATCACTACTATGAACCAATCAGATTGCTTGATTTGAGCTACCAGTTTTATAAAGTGATTTATAGGTGAGGTGGAGGACTTTGTAGGTAATGTGAGGCCAGTTAATGTGAGCATATGGGTGATGTGTTGCCAGGGCCTATTTTGAGTGAGAACTCTGGCAGCCGAGTTCTGTACATATTGTATCCTGTCCAGGATTTTGCTGGGTGATGACAGAATCAGTTGCATTTATTATGAGTTATAATTGATAAATAAAACAATGACAAATAAACACAACAAATTAAAACAAGTGACAACACAATTAAAAAACAACTGGGATTATGTATTTTGTCACACTTTGTCACAACAGCACAAGAGAAAATTCAGTAAATTACAGATGTGCAAGTGATTCAGCTTGATTCATACACATTTCCTTTTATAAAGATATTTTGGGCATTTTCACTCAATAATGGGCAATTGACCCTTCGCTAAGCCACACCCCGAATACAAAACTGTCCAATCACAGCACAGTATAGGACTCGCTCTAACTGAAGTCCGACACTTTCATGGCTGCACTCCATTCACTCTAATGCAAAAGGAGTCATTTTCTAGCTTTTTTTGGCTGTATTTTTCTAACATATGGTCAAACGCTGTTCCTGGGGCACTTGTAATAGTTATAGTCGCTACCCAGAGAGGTTGATAGGAGAAGTATGATTTATTCTCTTTCCAAAACCAAAAATAAATTCAGAAAAATGTCGGCTGTGGATTGTTCCTAATGTGATGATGGTTAGCTAACGCTAGCTAACATCCTACTCAATGGAACGTAATGAAGCCCTTCTGTTCTGCTTTTTAATGACAACAGAGGACTACCCAGCTTTATAGGAACAGTGTTGATCCTTAATATTGTTGTCTTTTGTCTCAATCGTCGGGGGATGCGGTGGTTCACTTGTACTGTGTGAGTGGTAGGCTTTAGCTTCTATCTTTAATTTTTTTCACGTCCGTTTGAGTCTTAGCAACTGTAACTAAGGGGGGCGGGGCTTAGCAAAGGGTCAATTGAGATATGACAGAAAACAAGTGAAGACAGAAAGGGGGGAATGGCATGAAACAAATGTTGCAGGCCAGAAACAAACCAGGGACAATGTAATCACAGCTCTGGATATGGTACACGTCTTCACCGCTATGCCTCCAGGAGGCTCAGATAATGTTTTCCTTTCACAAAAAATAATTCTCCTGCAGCAACTCCAAGAAGTCTCAGGCCAAGTCCACAAAACACAGCAGGACCAATACTGATCTCATTTGTTTCAACCTCTGGAGAGGACAAGAGAAATGAATTTTAATCTAAAAACACAAGTTATTTCAACTGATTGAATTCTACATTTCTATCAGACCTTCAAGAGACTATTAAGATACAACAAAACATTAAGCTTCTTTGTTCTCTCCCCAAAACTTGGTCTGAGGTGTCTCCAGTGACTCATGCTCCATAGTGCAGCTGTAGATGTCTCCTTCCTTTGGGAGAAAATCCAGGGTGGACAAAACATAAAATGTCCCATCAGGATTGGGTAAGCATTTGATGAAAGGATCTTCCTCTGATACTTCTACATCATTCTTGGTCCACTTTATGTTGATGGAGGGAGGAAAGAAATGATTGATGAAGCAGATGAGAGTGTTCTCTTGCTCTTTTATCACTTCATCTCTGGGGTAGATGATGATTTCTGGTTCCTCTGAGGGTTAAATTCACACATATTTTAGTGTGCTGTTAATGTTCTATATTTTTAATGGATACAGTATCTTTGTCAAAAGTGAACAGACAGTAAATGAAAAATCAATGTGGTGAGTACAACTTAACTTTAGTCTTTGTTGTAGCTGACTTGTCTGTTTTCCATGTCTGTAAATTGCCTTTGCACTGAATTCTGTTATGTACTGCATATTTGTAAGCCCAGGAAACATGTAAACTTGTAGGCAGTCTGCCATTCCAAACAAGATCTCCTTTTTTAAAGTCTGCATAGTAGATTTCTTCACCATCCAGTGTCATACATAGTTGAGTATCGCTTGAGTCAACTCCCTGGAAAAAAGTAACAATCCAGACATGAATTCAGAAACAACTATTTATACTGGTAACAAATTCATAAAAAGGTTTACAAATAAACTTGTGAACGTGGCATTTTAGTTCATATTTCATTTTAGATACAAAAGAAACAATTATAGGAAATAGCCATACTTACTTTGTGCATAGATGCAAACGGCTCCTGACAAAAAAAGTACAATTGTGAAGTACATATCTTTTAGTCTGTTTGTATTTCAGTGTGCTGTCACACCTCTCATGTTTTCAGAGAGAAAGATGAGACTTCTCAGGGTCGACTGTGCTCGATGAAATGTTTCCTCATAACTAAATAAATCCCATAAATGTTTGATAAAACATGTGACGCTTTGTGTTTGTTTTCTTTCTCATGCTTTGACATCTCTTCTACTCTTCACATCCTCATTCCTTCACTTCCTGTTTGGCAGGTTAATAAATGAGAGCAGTTTCCTCCTTCAAAACTGGAGAAAATCACATCAACACCATATTTCATGTATTTGAATGCTTCTATTGTTTTATTTTATGCTAAGTACTTTTTAGTAAATAAAAGTAAATAAATCCTCCAAAATTGTATGTAACCTTGTTATATATTGTAATGTAATAGGGTGGATTACATTACTTAATCCTTTCAATGCAAGATAAATGGCTAAAACTTTATCCAACAAAATATTATAAAATAGTGTCAAATGAACAGGGCTCCAGTTGCAGTTACTCAGATAATGTGACAATGTAGTATTACCATGTATTATAATAAAAATTTAATATTTACTCTATATTTATATTTGGAACAAATTTTATTCAAATGTCAATTAAGGTATTGTAATTCATTCCCATGCATGCTGCATAGCTCTTCTGCCAACAGCGCCGGGGTCTCTCTCCCTCTCCTCGAACTGTGTGCAGGCAGTCAGTGACTGACGTGTGAGACAGGCGGCTTCTCTCTCAATCTTTCTCTCCTGATCTCTGGATTAAGATGTTCCTACAGCTTGTGAACATGTAAATAGCTTGTTCAATCTTCTCACTTTGCAGATTATGTATTTATTTTTTTATATTTTTATCTCTCTTTCAAATGGCATAAGCTAAGGTGATCTCTCCCTCACATCAATTGTGAGTGCAATATTTCAGTCCATGGTTCATAGGACTGCCATTTCAAGGACGATGGAAAGACCTTATAAAGCTTAAATTCACTGAAACTGTTGATCATATTCGTGACATTTAAGAAATTAGGTAGACTATAGGACTGTAAAGAGAAACATAGGAGACATGGATACAAATGTGTATTGTAGTTAGTGTTATGTCACAACAGCTGCAGAAAGGTTTTACAGCACCCTCTCAAAACACACACACATTAGGGTTGGGCCGATAGACGATGCCATCGTCCATTGGCGATGGCTGACAGACATCACGACGTTGAGCCAGGCATCATGATTGTAAAACCCCCGCCCCATTATTATTTTTAAGTATGCTTTGCAGGTGCCTCGGAATTCCCCCACACCCTGACACAATCACTCACACCTACACCTAATCACCTCAGCACTCAGCCAATGTTATTTTACTATGAGATCAGTGTCCATGACCTCTGTGCCAAAAATAGCTGTCACACAAGAACAGTGTATGTAAATGAAAATCCCTCCAAAACTGATGTATGTGCATGTGAACACAAACAACTGTGTGCAAATGCATGTTCAGGGGACACTAAATTTCACCTCATCAGCAAAGCATGATTTTGGACACGAGGTCACCATGTGTTATGTTTGTCTAGTAGATCTCGACTAGAATTAAATAGCAGTTTGGAGAACAGAAAATAACTCCAGATCACTGGGGTCTGCTGACAAAAGCAACAGGTGCCAGAGGGTGAGAGAAAAGGAGCCATGCTGCTGGCCACCTGCACCCATGGCACTAACCAGCAGCCCAGAAACAAGCTTGTCCAAATTACTTTTACCAACTCTTTGTGCACATGCTTGCTGACATGAGTTAAGTTGAAGTTCTCCTGCCGGCAGGTTAAGTGTCACCTGTCACGTGAGTCACCACTTTAGCCACCCGGAAATAAATGCCCGTCCGGTCAGCTCCGAGCTCTCTTTCTGCTGTTGCTTCTGCATGGTGTGGTTGTGTACCGCTGCTCTGTTCCGTCGCTCGAGATTGATGCTCTGTGTGGTCCGTGCTGAGTCTGTGAGGTCTCTGGGAAAGATGGCCCGTGAAGCACGGAAATGTTTGCAGAGATTCAGAGCACAGATTGCCACTGCTGCTTTGCCTAGTCTGAATTATTAACACACTAACATAGCCTACCTGTTTTTATTATTTTTTTATTGTTACGACCTGTTTTAAAGTGTGTGAGGAGATTTTATTTCTTTGAATATTGTGTTTTGTTTTAGTGATCTTTAATTTGGCTTTGATTTCAGGAAAACTATTGACATAACATTTTAACCATAGAGACCTCCTGATAGTGGTTCGGGTTGTTTTGGTCCAGAGGTGGTGACGTATAATAGGTGGCTCATTTTAATAACATTGCATGTAAGTGTGATTTGGGTTTTATTTTGTTATATTGGCGTGTTTAAGTGTTTATTTATAGCCCCTTTTGTAAGATCCACACTGTAGAACTATAGACTGCTGCCACTCTTTACCAATAGTTTTCCACGCATAAACAAAACTCTACTCTCATATTTTGTTTTAAGTATTATTGGTCGTTTATCCTTTTATGTTTTTAGCTTATTTTTATAGTTATGTTTAGTTTGCAGTTGTTTTATTGTCTCTGTAATAAATTATTTCAAGTTGCTCAAAGGAAAAACTAAAAGCTAAATGTACCTTATTTAACACTTGCCAAACGGCTATTCCGACATGAAAAACACTGAGCTGCAGCACACACCTCTCCTCTCCCTTCCAAACACTAGCTACCCTCCAGGCAGTCAATGGACATAAAGTTGTTACTGTGATGTAGAGACATAGCTCAGTTATAACTTTATGGATGAAAGATACATTTGTTACAAATTAATAACTCCCCACTCTGAAACTCTTGCTCCAGTCCATGTTGCCAAGCTGGTCGGCAACATGTACAGTTGAAAAGAAAGCCATGTTTACAGGCTTCTCATTGGCCCGCCCTTCTGTGCTTCTGATTGGGTAGTAGTCCTTAACTAGGAACTGTGCATGTGCAACTCCCAACAAAGATCATTTACAGACAAGATGTATCACTCCATAGCTAAAACAAAGCCTTCACACACAGGGTGAAAAGGGGAGCTGCAGCAATGTGCAGTACGCTAAAAACTATGGTGTTTTTTGAAAATTAAACCTGTTCTGGTACAACCCCTAAATAAGATTTTGAACCTGAAAATGAGCATAATACCACCTCTTTAATGGAGATTGGCGAAATTGAAGAGAACATTTGTAAATAACCTAAGGATTCTCAGTCAGGCTGATAACATTCAGAAGAAAAAAACATCCCATGGTCAACTTGATGGAATGTTGTGTGATTGTGTGTTTCTTAATTGAGTCACGCAGAAAGGGAGAGGAAGTGTTTTTGAAAGGATTTCTGATGGTGTCTGATCATAAGCGGAGATACCATGGTGCATGGGGGTGGCTGGCCTAGGGCCCTGGTTAGGTGAGGGGCCCCCTACGTGTGCCTCGAAACTTATGTCAGTTGATAGAAGATGCAGCCGGGCGAGAGGAGCTGCATGCAGTTTACTTCCAATAATGGTGCAGACGGACTCAGTGGTATTCCGGAGTGAGTCCAGGGTCACGTAAACATGGTATAAATGACTTGGTAACAGGTGGGCCCAATGCTGAAGCTCTGCCCCCACTGTGATGAAAGTCTAGCTCCGCCCAGTGTCTGATGTATGTACCTGGGTAATTTCTGTGTGGGTGTTAAAATACGAAAAACAACAACAACACACAGACACGAACACACACACACACACCAGGATTTACAAAGTCATAGTAGACAATAGGGGTCGACCAATAAGCCTGGCTGATTATCGGCGCAGATATTCAGCATTTTTCCAATAATCTGCATCGGCCATTTCAAAAACAGATAGCCGATATAATCAATTAATTAAAAAATGCCCTCCTTTGGCTCTGATGCAGCCGCTTCTCTCAGTCTGTTCTGACAATGCAATGTCACACCCACAGTACTACTACTAATAATAATAATAATCTTTATTTGTAGAGCACTTTTCAAAAACAAGTTACAAAGTGCTTTAACAAGTGTAAAGACAATAATACCCAAAAGACAATAATACAAAAACAATACAAGATAAAAGCAAGAAAACATTAAAAAGACTAAAATACACATTTAAGATAAATATAAAATAAGTAAAATAGAATAAAATAAAAGGGATAAAATAAAGTCAAATAAGATCGGGAAAGGCTCTCCTATAAAAGTATGTTTTAAGAAGGGACTTAAAAGAGTTCACTGACTCAGCCGACCTGATTTCCTCGGACAGGCTGTTCCAGAGCCTCAGGGCCCTGACAGCAAACGCTCTGTCCCCTTTAGTTTTCAGTCGAGACTCTGGAACAGACAACAGACCTCTGCCCGAGGATCTCAAGGTGCTGGTGCGTATGGGACTAAAAGGTCAGAAATATAACAAGGCGAGAGGCCATGAAGAGCTTTAAAAGTGATCAATAAAATTTTAAAGTCAATTCTAAAACATACTGGGAGCCAGTGTAATGAAGCTAAAATAGGGGTAATGTGGTCCTATTTCTTTGTTCTGGTTAAAAGCCTGGCAGCTGAGTTCTGGACAGTCTGGAGTCGATCAGTAGATTTTTGGGTTAAACAAGTGAAAAGGCTGTTGCAGTAATCCAGGCGTGATGAAGGCATGTAAATTGGGGTCTGTGTCCTTAAAAGTTAACATAGATCAAATTTTTGCTATATTTCTAAGTTGATAAAAACATGATTGAACAAGCTTTGTGGTGTGCTGCTCAAAATTTTAATTGCTATCAAACCAAACACCAAGGTTCTTTGCAGCAGGCTTAATGTGATTTACTATGGAACCAGCAGATGACAGTATTTGTTTTGCCATCTGCTGTTTGATTTCTGTTTTGTCGGAGTTCAGCTGGAGGAAAGTATTTGACATCCATTTTTTAACTTCACAAAGGCAGTTGTTAAGTGAACTCATTCCAGGGTCTGTAGATCTGACAGGCAAGTACATTTGTGTGTCATCAGCATAAATATGAAAAGAAGTACCATGTTTATAGATAATATGTCCAAGGGGAAGCAGATACAAGGAAAACAAAATGGGTCCTAAGACCGACCCCTGAGGCACACCTTATTAACTGGACAGAACGAAGAGACATAGTTGTTTACAGACAC